TCCAATGTACTGTTAGGTAGGAAATTATCGGGATTTTTATAAATTTTACAATCTTGAGGGTTTTACTTGCAATTTGTAAAAAAATTTAGAGTGTTTATTGCAAATTTCATAAATATTTGGGGGTTGTTTGTGTTATTTGTAGATTTTTAGTGTGTTTATAGGTTTGAAATTTTCAAGGTGTTTTTTACAAAATTTGAATTTTAGGAGTGCTTTTATATTTTTCAAAACTTATAAGATACTTTATCTAATATCAGAAACTTTTATTTTTAGCTAGCATATATTTTTTAGATATCTAACTGAATTGAAATAAGTAAAATTTATAATTTTTAAATAAAAATTTGAATTTGTAGAAGGTGTTTTTGCAATTTTAAAACTCAGAGGGTATTTTGTACAAGGTCCAAATAAAACTTTTAGGTGTTGGCTAGCATATAATTTTTAGATTTCTCTGCAAACTAAAATAAGTTAAAGATTTGAATTATATCAAATATATCATCTTTATCCAATAACATGTTAAGCCTCATTATGGATAGGATAAATTATTTAATTATAAATTCAAAGAATACAGAAAAATTAGAATAAAATAAGATAACTGTTAAAATCTAAAAGACATTTTGTTGATATCTAAAAGACAAAATATATGTGGACATTACTTTGTATGTGGACTATAAAAGACATTTTGTTGATATCTAAAAGACAAAATATATGTGGACATTACTTTGTATGTGGACTATTAACTTCATGTCCTTTTGTCTTCCATCATGTATCTTGTATGTGGACTATTAACTTCATGTCCTTTTGTCTTCCATCATGTATCTATAAATTGTACGATGTATGAAAATGAAATTAATGAATAAAAAGATTACAATTTCTCTTCTTCTCTTGCCTCTTGTTTTATTTCTTTAGTATATTACAACACGTTATCAGCACGAGTGGCTCTAGCCGGTTCGTGATCATCGGTTCGTAGTAGATATGAGTTGTCTAGAACCCTAGGCTCCACAACATGAAGAATAGGATGTATTTTACTTCTCTTCTGATTATTCCTTGGCTTAGGCAAGCTGTTGGTTCTGCATTGTTCTCTTGGCATCCCATTTTATATGAAGTTGAGCCTCAATATGCTATGGGTCTTATTCTAATTTATCATTGTGCTTATAAAATATTGCTTAGAATTATTTTTATTTTCTGCTTCGTTTTCTTATTAATTTTATTTCTAGTCTATCTTAGTAGATTCAACCTCCTTTCGGCACTTTCTTTATTCTAAATAAGCCTGTGTCATATGTCTTCAGATTTTCTCCAGGAAAGTTATAGCTTAAAAAATAATAATAAGTATTGAAGCAACATATATATTATTCAAGAGATTGTGCTTATTCAATAGATATATTATTTAAGTAGAACTATTTCTCCAGTTTCTCAGAGCACCTCTGCCTAGAAGGCAAATGCATTGATTTTTCTTCGTCATCATCTCAACAAAGACCTGAAAAATGAGTACCTTACTAAAAAAAAGATCCTGTTGTTCTATGGAAATCCATGAAGGATCGCTTTGATCTATGGAAGCCAATAATCCTCCCTCAATCGCAATTGAAAAACTGAATCTGGATTTTTTTTAAATACATGACTAAATATGATTGAGCTCTGTACCACATTATCTAATAGCTGAAACTCTGTAAGCAGAACATTACAGACAATGACAAAATTGATCGAAAAGTTCTTTTCCCCATTCCACGCAAATAATATTGTACTCCAGCAGCAATACATATATATATAGTATAATATATATATATATATCAATTTTAGAATGTTAAGTGCAATTCTTTGGTCGTATTTCGTTTTTTTCTGTTTGATGTAATTA